TCTAATTTAGCTAAGCCTCTGTAATAAAAAGTTACTTAAACTTTGTAATAACACATTTTCCAGAAGTGATAAGCACTCACAATTGCTAGGCTTAGTTCAGCTTATACTTGATACTTAGTGTTTGGTTTCCATGTGCCACAATAAATAGCTATATATAACCTGATGTGGATTGTGCCAGCACATCACATCAAACTGACATGATATTCTCAGGAAAAGTTGTTTAACCACATGAGTTCGATATTCCAGGTGCACTCCAAGGAGTTGCATGTTTACCCAAAGCCATTGTTCCCTGTGTTGTGCTCAGTCACCTGAGTTTTGACCAGTTCTGTTTTAGATGATCTCTACCTGGGATCAAGGACAGCTGTTACTCCTACCAAAGAACGCCTGTGGATGCAATCTTGGGTGCTAGATTTGGGAGTAACCTTTCCCTTGGCAGTAGCCCATTTCACTGGTGGAAGAACTAATGGCCAGTAGCCTGTTTCATTGGTGGAAGCCCACTTCACTTGTGACTTGATTTCTTGTTCAGTAGAAAGCAGCCATGGCAGACCAAGTAAAGGATCCTTTATTCTTTAGGCTCCTCAGCCCAAAGCATGGTGGTCCATGGAAAATGGAATCAGCTAAAGCAGCCTTGCCAGACTTGTCTAATAAGCTTGTGTGTCTTATTTTTCCTTTCCTATGAATTATTAATTTCATCTGCATCCTGGAGAAAAACAAATGACATATGCACAGATGTTGTATGGACAGAGTTGCTGTCCCAACTGAATTATAAGGCAGCCCAAATACTGTGGATATAACTTTTAAGTGAAAGGGAAGTGAAAATGAAAAGTGATTTCAACCCATGGATTGGTTCCCAGTCTGGCATATTTTATTTAAATTAATCTTTATGTCTTGACCTGATACCAGACTTCTTTAACCTAGTGTTACCACATGTTTTTGGACTCCACTTCCTATCAATGGTCAGGGATAGTGGGAGTTACAGCCCAAAACATCTGTAGGGAATCAGGTGGGGAGAGCCTGTTCTGTATGTTATAGGTCAAAAACATCCTCTTCGTAATGCTTGATATAGGCATGTGCTGGTTATGTATTTATTCTATAAATAAATACTTAAAATATACTGTAACGTAAGGCAAAAGTCCCTGAAATAAGACAGGTAACGAGAAGTCCATTCTGCGGGCACTTCAATGCACACAACAGAACTCTGAGGCAAGCCTGCTGTTCTCAACATACTGCCACTGCTCCTTTCTCTGCTTTGAGTCGGGAAGCACACAATGCAACATTTGTGGGATGCACAGGGCTTGAGTATTATCTAATTAATGGAAACACTGAATCATTAGCTTTTTCAAATATCAGTAGTTACATGGTTTAATTGCAGTATTACCTACGGCTTTCCAGGCGAAGGCAACCGAGAAGTGTGTGTATGTATCAATATAAATGGATGCTCATCAGTATGTGTGTCACTCCGTACAGGCATTTTACTGCCATGAGTTGCTTCACTCCCATTATACTGCTGAAAACAATCTGCAATCTAAGTCGATTAGATGCACAGTAGATTAATGTTTCTCTGTACAGCTAAATGTGCCACTTGACCCGTTTTCAGCACAGTTTGTGATTCTGAATGTACTGCCTATACCTGCACATCAACAAATGTTTGAATCTATTTTTCTATCTTTGTTTTGGGAAAAATGTTCAGTAGTTTGACAACAGAGTCCTTGTCTTGCTTGTCTGGTCATGTTGTTTGGTGCACAGAATGAAAGCATATTCAGTGCTGCTGGGAAGCCCAGCTGTATTTTTACTATGTCATGTTACTTCTGGAACCCCAAACAAGAACCTTCACATTCAATAAAATATTCCGAGATTAGTTTGCAGTTTTCCTAGATTGCCTTCAAATATTAGCTGGGTCAGTTGTTCCATCGCCTCTTGCAATTTTGGCAAGTATTCCCTTAATTTATGAGAAATGACATTGTGTCTAATCAGCTACTGGCATACTTTCAATCAAATGGAGATGTTAATACATTGGATTCGATGGAAATGTGAGCCTGGGACTTGTTTCTCCAGATGTGAGAAACGTCCCAAAAGGTTAATTAAGAAATGCTATTGAAATCAGATGCAGGTTCATCACTCATGCTTAAGCCCACCTCATGCTCATTTAAAAAAAGCTCTCTGCAGGGATATAGTGTAAGGTAATTAATTATAGACAGGATGAGTAGCTGCAAGTTATGAAACAAAAAAAGGACAGCACTACTGCATTTTTAGCAAGTTTTGGCACACAGCACACAAAATCAAAGCCTTGAAAGCCGGTCCACATGCTTACTGCTTAGTCACCCTCCACTAATCAGTGGAACAGCAGAGCTTTCCTTCCACTCTTACGTTGACTCAAAACTTTCAAGTTTTGAGCAAAAGATGAGTTTTGAATGGCCACTCACTGAGCAAAGAGCTGCTGGTAAAAGACCTTTGGGGGCCTGCATTTCCATTTGCAACAAAACTGAAGAACGGGAAACCGAGACTTCTTTCAAACAGATGACCCCATGCACAGACACGCAAATTTGGATAAATACGCTTGAGGGTGAAAAATGACAGCCACTTATGAATAAGTCTCTGGCAGGGCTTATGGGAATGAGAAAATAAAGACTAAAAGTATTTTGGTGTCTTTCACAGAATAAGGATTTGCCAGGGTTTCATTAGGACGCTTCTGTTTGGGAATCTGATAATGCGTCAGTTCTTCACAGTCCGTGCTGCAGCTGCTCTCTGTGTGCCCACGTGCGCTGAAAGTGAGGAGCCCATACAGACTAATGCTTTTACATCATACCGCTCTGCATTCCTACTGAGCATCTCCAATCCTGACTAGAGAAGAACAGGTTGTCCAACTTTTTCTCCCACGTAAGATGTTTATGAGACTGCATGGCTTAATGGCGACAAACCTTTGCGCTCCAAATTATACTTATGAGTGAGCTCATATGCCATATCAGGATTAAAACTGCACGTTCAATGTGGCTATTTATTTTATCCAAACAGTGTCACCAAGCAATACAATTATTTTTAACTACAGGTCAATACTAAGCTGATTTGAGGTAAATTTGAATATCTTTCCCCACATATATCCTTGAAAGCAAATATACTTGTCATATTATGACAGCCCTCATTTGCTTTTCCAGTCATGTTGATTTTGCCACTGAAAATATTTAATTCACAAACTTCGGATTTTATTACAGGAGATAACACAGCTGTATCTTCAGATTTATATCCCTAAACACCCACACATCCATTTTGCTAGTCTGTTGGCTCAAATCAACACTTTTCTGTAAGACTGGATGATGGATAACCACTCTGAAAAATCCATCTCATAAACATTTATGCTGACTGATGGCACCATATGCTCATGTATTACTTTGTCCTCTAACCCATCTCTCAAACAAACACGTATACAATGTTCACTTCTGAATCTATTATGAGGCTATATGGTTATTGATGTAGTATGTGTATCATCTTCAGTAGTGGCACATGCATAAGATGGGGGCATGTGTGCTTTTGTTTTACCTTACATTTGCTTCAAATGATTTTTGCATGGATTTCCCTTTCATATTCAAGTGTCCATCCAGCTAGGGGATGGCATACCCACAAGTGGTGAATTAGTCATGAAACAGCTGTGGCATGCTCCTCTCCCTCAAGTCAGATGCTCCAAATACTATTTATTACTCAGGTGTTCCTAATAGGGGAGAGAGACACCAGTTTAGCCCAGCCATTCGGCTGATCTGCCGCTGTCTGCGGAATAAACAATATTCTGCATACCCAGATTGGTCTGTGTATACACAGCTCTGGCTGCTGCAGTTGGGATCCGGGCCAGAGAATATTAAAAAGAAATCTGCAGTATGGAGATGAGCATTTTGATGGTGAAAACAGAAGTAGAATACCACACTGGCTGTGTTTGGATGTAACAAGAATGTCTCTCTAGGCTTGTGAAGTCCATCCTTCTTTTCTCCTTGGTGCACCCATGAGAAGATCAGAAACGTATAGTTTTGTTTTTGATTAATTGCAGTTTAGCATGTCATATGAACTCTAAGCTATGGTTTGATTATGGATTGCTAAAATAAACCAGCTTAATAACTCAGGGTTTGAGGTTGGCTTCTTTCAGTGGGATCGTTAAGACCAACCACAATTTGCTGGGTACAGAAACACGACAAACTGCAGTTAATCTAATGGACATGAAAGCTTTCATACCAGAAAAAGCCGGGAAGGGGTTGTGAATGAGCCTGTGGCTTGCAGTCTTGTTCCCATCACAGTAAACAGTAATTTGTTATGATGTCAAAACACAGCCAATATGTTCTCATTATAATTTGTACATGCACTTTCCATTCCTCGAGATTGTAACCAATATATTCATAGTGCCCTGTGTGACGGTATTTTATTCGCCATTTCACCTTGCTGTGTTGACATATTCAATCCAGCCTTATGCTCCCATGTGGGTAGCTAGGCTCCTGGCTGTGTAATGTAGGATAATGGACATGCCTTTCTAATCAGTGCTTTGCATTCTGCACTTAGACAAAGAGAAAGGGCGAGAGACAGATTGAGAGACAGAGATTTGAGGAGGGAGTAAAATACATAGTGAAATGAAAGCTGTTCTTTAACCACATGGAGAGCTCTAAAGAGAACAAACCTGTGTCATATTGGTCACAGTAGTAACCAGTGTGACACGAGTAAAATAATGGCTTTTTGTCTACCATTAATATAGTTTCCAGAACACATTTTAGTTATAACCTGTGTTATATTCCACTTTATTTCTCATAAATCCTACATTCATAAAACTTGTGCATTTGATAAATGCACGTCAGCCTCTTGAACGTGCGCTTTCCAACAATGCAGTTCAATTTTATTGCCACTTTAATAAATTTTAGTTTTATTAAATAATGCCAATTTAATAAAACATGCTAGACTCTAAGATATGTAGCGAACAAATTACTGTTCAATCATCACAAAGGATGAAATCTACTAATAGGAACACCTACCAATAAAACCTGAAGAGGGAGGGTTGGGTTGTATCTTTTCCTTAGTATTCTCCTGGATGATATCCCAGAGTTGCCATATAAACTTTGGATGGAGAATGTAAAATGGTTGCTTTGGATTCTTCCTGCGATGCTGTACATAAGGAGTAAACAGGTTGTAGTCTGGTTTCTTATACCACTGTGGTGGGAAAAATAAAATCAGAACTTTGCTTGGAGTTGTCAACATGTATCAGACGAAATCAAAAGCAATCAAACTGGCAGTGGATATAAACACATAGCATCACAGCACAAAAATGAGAGCCTGAAATAGTCAGAAAGGTCTTAGAATGGCACAGTCTTACACCATCTATGTGGTGCTTAGAGATGGAGGAATATGTGAGGGCCAGAGCATTTTAGCACCCAGCCCCACTCATTGTTGGTTTGGCCACAGCACCATGTAAAACCTGCACAACCTGCTAATGTGCGATAAACAGCACCCTCTAGTGCAAAGAGAGCAACCAATATGCAATAATGCTGATTATTATATTTTCAAATTCCACCTGACATTTAAAATACTCTTCTGTATCTGGTAGACTTTAAAGCAGTATTTCCTGCTTCTCCCATATGTTAGCACTGAAATGAAAGAATTACAGGAAGTTGTAACCTGAGCAGCAGTGGCTAGAACTCAGCACTGAAAATCCACCACTTCCCGTAAGACCCACCATGAAAATCAGCCTTCTTCAACTCTGGGAACAAATGGACATGACACACATGGAAGGGAAATGCTGCCGTTCAGTAACTGTAAAGCTTCTAAGATACAACCTGCTTCAACTTTTAAAGTGCTTCTACAATCCCTCCCCTCCCACTGCAACATGGAAACTGTGTTGATGGTCCATTCATGGACCATGAGGTTGAAATTACTGGAAAACAAGGGTACAGCGAAGAATTTTGTTGGTGTCCAGCTAATGTGCCTTCACTAACCGAACTGCTTTTTGGTTCCAGTTCCTACAAATGGTTTACACTGCTTCATGGTTCTCATAGTTAGCCACCTGCTTAGTTATCTATCCAAAAATTTCAAAGTCAACCATCTGCTCTGGGAACACTGAGATGATCATACTGTTCTCTATATTTCTCGTCAGTACAGACTTGTCTATAAAGGCTGCTGGTTAACTAAGACCACAGGAGTGATTAACTTATCAGTCAGTGTCATTCACATGATCCAGTCCCTGGGAAACTTCAACAAGGGAGAAGCCTTGATGGACTGCAGAAATGCTGTGTACAAGCCAAGCCAACTCTGGCGATCTGTTCACTGCTGAAAGGGGCTCTCAGTAGCTGAAGGAGCATAAACGTATCAGTCTTGCTTTCTGAACTTAATTCTGTTCTGTAATTTCTCTCCACTGTTTTTATTATTGGCTTGTTTTCTTGGTAGATACTGCTTTTTGACTTCACCCATTTGTGTATTTATTACCAACTGGACATGACTATCCATGCATTCAAGAAGAATCCTTGTGTTATCTGGGCCTACTAGGAACTGAACCTCAGACTTTTATCATGCAAAGCTCTACCTCTGGATGCCGCACTGCTTCAGCACCAGCAGAACACATGCTTTTGCTTCCTTCCCCACACAATAACCCCAACGAGCACTGCTGCTTTCCCACAATCACTGAGTGCGGAAGCAGCCATGACAACTGATTTCTCTGCATGCGTGCATGTGATGCAGAATTTTGTGGGAGTGTGGGAGGGATGGTGGCTATGGAGCATCTATCTGCGGGCACCTGTGGCTCCCAGGGCACAGGATGTGCTGCCTGTTCTAGATGGAGAGCCCACAAGTGTCCAGCATTGCCAAGATCTGTTGCCTTCCCATGCTCCCTGTTGTGTCACAATGGCAAAGAGTGGCATGGTTTACCTGCAAGAGGAGGATCAGAATTCTCGGGACTTGCAAGGGTGGATCCCCGTAATCATGCAATGCAACTGGGTGCTCTGGTGGGTTCTACACATGCTTTCCTACACGGCTCAGTTTGGAACAACAACATGGGTTTTGTAGGAGTTGTGTTGGGTCCCCGATCATGCTGCCACTCTTGGTTTTGACCATGCCTTGACTCTGCCTGCTCCCGACTCCACTGTTGCCTCTGGTTTGGCTTGCCTTGATCCACTGGTTCTGCAACACCTAGGAGGCGGTATCTGACTTTTGCTTGTTCCTGGTTCTGCCTTCACCTTTGGAGCTGCTTTACCTTGCAGGAAATCTGAATCGTATGCGTCCCTGACTTTGTCTGTGCTTCTGGTCCTATTTTGGCTTGACGGTGTCTGATCCTTGCTTATTCCAGGTTTTCCCTTTGCCTCTGGCCCTACTGCACCGATTGCAAAATCTCTACCCACTTCCATCACCCGTAATCCTGGTTCTTCAGCTGTATACCTGCGGTCCACACTCCAACCTGGGACGTATACTCTATCTATGGAAGGGTTGAGTCAATTGATGTGTTTCGTCTAGCTGGTCCAAACCAATCAAAGCAATGACCAATCAAAGCAATGCCAAATGTCCTGGTTTACCCTAAGCTGTTGGGAAAACTCTGGCCCAGAAGAACTTTCCCTTTTGAAAGAAGGCACTGACAGCATATTGAACCTATTGCTTTTTAATAACAAGCTTGCAAACCAGTTTTAAATTTCATTCCGGCCAGTGACTTACCACATTCAGATTTGCAGAATAGGGAGCAGGATCCCAAGCAACCAGAATGACATCTTTATATATGGAATTCTCGATGAAGTGATGGCTAGGATTGGTAAGTATCTGCCAAATACAAAAACAAGCCAGAGCCATGAAAAGCCTCCAATGCCTAGCTATCTATCTTCAGGTATTTCAAAAAGCAAAAAAGCAGAATTGCAACTACACAGACTTCTTATTTTAAAAGGAAACACTACGGTATACATGAAGTTCTAAGATATTCTGTCAAGGTTTAAGTTGCTGGTTCACCTCCTGGAAAAAATGGTATGTTCTCAGCACTCAACTTTCAACAATAAGGAAGTGGTTTTTCATAGATCCAGACAGAGATTTTCCAGAATCCTCCAGCCAGCATGCAGAGGGTTGCATCCTTTGTCACAGCCAAAGGAATTAATTATGCTGGTGCCACTGCTGCCTGCTAGGTGTTACCTGTAGTGGTGTTGTGAGTACCTGTACAGGTATGTGAGACATCCCACACCTGGTGTTACTTCAAGAATTCTACCACTCTACTCCTATACCAACCTTTTCCCCATCATTTCCCCATGGTGGCCCTCCCACTAAATCAATGAGATTTAAGACAAAATAGACCAAGTTTAATAGGAAGTAAGCACCACTAATTTTGAGTAAACATGCTCATAATCAGGTTGCTCAAAGTGCTTAATTTCAACATGCTCTTAATTTTGTTCAGTTGTAGTCACTCTGCATTAAATGAATCTACAAGCCAAAAAGTCAATGCTGATTATGCTACTTAAAGGTTTCTATTAGATTTTTATTTCCGCTCCCGTTAGCTACCAAACTGGGGCAGATTGTTTTGCTTAGCATTTGTATTTATTTTGGGTGTACCAGTAGTGTCACATCTTAATTTTATAAAAGCCAACAGTATCAAAAGGGTAAGTCTTCAGGCTCAAAAGCACTAATATCTCTTTTACTAAGGTATGCTGCGTAAGGGCAGAACCTACTGTACACCCTAAAAGTTGGCTGAATGCCTTGTTCCATTAAACTATAGTTGAAGTAAGCACCTGAAAGTGGGAACTCAGTTCAGCCCTTCCTGGAGGTACAGGAGTCAGTTGTTACGCTAATGCAGAGAAATCCTGTGTGTGCAGAACAGAGCTCTTGCATGCATTCACACACGAACAGTCCTGTAGGGCAGGGTGAGAGAATCTGACTCCCCAAATATTGCATCCAAGGTGATGGGGCTGATGGAAGCTAGAATCCAAGAATGTCTGGGCAGCTGCCCCATTGCGGAAGTTGCATTGATCAAATTCTTTGTTCTGTTGAGCATCCCACACCCTACTTTGTTTAGAATTATTGCACTGAAAAGTGTGATATCTAGGATGTTATTATCAACTGCAATTAGCAGACAGGGAAATTAAAGTCAAAATGCCTCCACACGTAAGTTCCTTTTGAGTGAAATAATAATATGGTTACCACAAGGGGGCATTGCTCATTTGCAAAAGGTGTTCCTTCAGTTTGCTTTGCTCGTGAACTTTTCGGTTGACTACAGCACCGTGGTTCTTCACATTTTCATGTGTTTGAGTTGTCAGGGAACACATTTATCTTGGCTTCTTTAAGGTACATGTTTAAAAGGATGAGAAAGAGACAAAAAAATGAAGGGACCGGTATACCTGTTCCATCCCTCACTGGCCCCTTTGTATGTAGCACCTGGGAAAAACACTACCCAGACATTCTAACTACAATGCCATGAGGGCCCAAAAATTTAAAATTAAGACTTCAAAATGAAAAAACGAGAAAATCAAAATGTGCCAGGAGCTGAACTGGATGGTGATTAATTACTGGTTATCCAAAAGCAAGCTGTCATTTTGGATTTCTTGTTAAGTCACAGAAGCTGACCCTAAAGATACCGAGGTCCTTTTTGTTTTAAGTCAATGTTACATATTGTAAGATAAATAATCAACAGTGTTCTGTAAGTTTCCCAGTGTTAATGGAATTATCTTAATGGACTAGGAAATGAAAGGTGTCTAATTTGAAAAACTTACTTGGGAATTAATGATGCGCATGGTGGTTTTATTTCCAACATCTTTTTCATAACCTCGTGTTGGAGCAGAATTGAATCGCAGGACTGCATCATGGGAATCTAAAGCCAGAGAAGAGCTACATTTAATCGTGTTTCCATGCAGTGTGCAATCAGATGCATGTTTACTTGGATGTAAGTCTCACTAGTATCAACTGGGCTTATATTCTCTAGTGTGGTCATCATTTCATTTCATTTCATTTTTATGCCACACATAGCCAAAGCTCTTTGGGCAGTTTACAACAAAGTATAAAAACAATAAAATACAATAGATAAAAAGTTAAGAATTAAATATTAATTTAAAATAACAGAAAAGAACATTAAAAGACAAAAGAAAAAGAAAAGAAAAGGTGCTTGGCTAATCGTTTAAAGCCTTTGAATGACCAGGGAGGTCTTTAAAGGCCTCCGCACAGAGGGCTATCTCAACCTAGCAGTGAAAAATGGCAAATTTGGAACCAGGCCGACTGCAGCAGGGGGATTGTTCCAAATATGAAGGCTACTACCAAAAAGGCTCTCCTCTAGTTGCCACCCTCTAAGCCTCTTGAGGAAAGTCCCAAAGGCTAAGTGAAATGTCCAGGAAGACTGGGACAGATATTGTGGTCCCAAACCAGGTAGGGCTGTATAGGTTAAGACCAGCACATGAATTGGGACCAGCAGCATATAGGCAGCCAACGCAGGCCAGCCGGCCTGTGTTTGGATCTGCAAGTCCCACTTATTAATCTGGCTGCTACACTCTGCATCAACTTCAGCTTCTGAATAGTCTTCAAGGCCAGCCTCACACAGACTGTATTGCAGTAATCTAATCCAGAGATTGCCAGAGAACAGATCTGTGAAGACAGGCTATCCCTGTCCAGGTAGTGGCACAGCTAGGCCACCAGTCGAGGCTGGTAGCAAGGTGTCACCAATGCCACTTGAGCTTCAACTGATAAAGATGGAACAAAGACCAGCCCCAAGCTCCTTTGGGGGAGTGTGACCCCATCTAGAACAGGTTGAACCCCACCCCCCAAATCTGGTCACAAGAATCACCCACCAACAGCATCTCAATCCTGTCTGGAATGAGTTTCAGTTTATGAACCCTCATCCAGTCCATTATCGTAGCCAGACACTGGTTTAGCACATCCTCAGCCTCACCTGCTGATGATGCAAAGGAGAAATAGAGCTGCATGCTATCAGCATACTCATGGCAATGCCCTCTGAAATTTTGGATGACCTCCAAGGATTCATGTAGCTGTTAAATCACATGGGAGACAGAACAGACCCCTGAGAAACTCCATGCTGGAGAGTCCATGGGGCTGAACAATATTCCCCAAGCACCATCTTCTGGGGAAGCAGGAGCAGGACCACTGCAATGCAGTGCTTCCACTCCCATCTCAGCCACCTGCTCCAGGAGAATACCATGATCAATGGTATCAAAAGCTGCTGAGAGGTCCAGCAGCATCAACAGGTTCACACTATCCCATCTCGCTCCCGGCATTGGTCATCACAGGGAACCAAGAGTGCCTGGAATTGACTGGCAACTTCCCTCTCTAGAACAACTACAGTTACAATTGCAGCCCGAATATTTGTTACCTGGATGGTGATAGCATTCCATATCAATCCTGCAGAACAAATATCCCCCGTTCATCATGTGCTACTGCACAGTTCTAACCTACTAAAAATTCAGAACAAAGAGAGGCCAATATGTATTCTTCAGATGTTGTAGATGGGAGCTCTCATTATCACTTACTACTGTCCATGCTGGTTGTGGTTCATGGGAACTTTCATTCAAAATGTTTGAAAGAAGCCAATTTGCCTACCCTTAATCTAAGTAAAAGCCTATTAATAAGAAGCTCACCAAAGCTTTCAGAAATAAAGAGAGAAGCTCATGCAAACAGGGCATTGTTCGTCCATGATGTGCGTGCCTGTACAGCAACAGTTGAAGAGCTGCTGACCATTGTTTTAACTGATGGTTTTAAAAGAGCATATCTCAATTGCTGATAGGCTTGACTTAGACAGTAAAAACTCACTACCTGTCCATTTACATGGTTTTGGAATTAACTTTTGATATTCCATCCAAAGCTAAAATCTGAACTTTTAGGATATAATAGAATAAAACATTATATCTTCCTCATGCTAATAAAAATGACTCAAATTACACTGTAACTATGCTATGCTGGTTAAAGCAGTTGGCTTCTACATCTGGTATCAGGGTTCGGATGAAAGTCCTCAAAGCTGCCACATGCATCTTTTTGGTAGCATTTTAAATGTTAACAATAAAATAGCATTTCTAGCAGGAAAACAGAAGGGGGCACCCAAAGACTACCAATATGATGAAAAATCAGTAACTTAGCAGTTTTTCTTCCTTCCCTTCCATGTGATAGCTACATTCCTAATAAGACTTTTGTACACTTCAAGCCTCGAGTTTAATTGAAATACAAGTGTGTGTGTGTGTGTGTGTGTGTGTGTATGCGTACACGCATGTCCACACAGAGAGACATACACAGGATTTTAAACCTTGTATTCCAGCTTGCTGACAAAGTTGCACTTTACTGATAACCCCACACTGCTACCTTGCTCTATTATAGTCTGGCGACCATTAAAAATGCATCTTGCATTTTGATCTTCAGGTATCAATAAAACGTCCCACTTTCAGGGCTTTCTAATCTTCTACTGCACGTACCAACATTCAGGTAGTGAGAAATGACCCTAACGGCACTGATACTCCCATTAGTTCTGGCTCCAACCTGACCCTGGCTGCTATCTTCCTGAGGCCACTGTCTGTGCTGCGTGGGAAAGGGGCGCAGTTCTGCATCAGAGGCACCGGCCAGACCACACAGCTGAGCTGTGGCTGTTTTGAGAATCATAGTCGTGATCCAGCCCTGCCTAGGGAAGCCGTTTCTGGAATAGCAAAAGATGGTGCTAATTTGTATCAAATTTTGCATATGCCAATATGCACTATGCATAAATACTAACTTAGAAAAATATAATTTATCTAGAAATGAAATCCAGTGACCGGTTGCCCTGTGGTTCTGCTCTGCTGAAGGGCAGCATCAAGGACTCGGGTCCCTCCCTAGGGTTCTTTCTCTTTAAGCAGGCCTTGGCCCTAGACTTGGCCCTTCAAGCAGAGGCGTGTGGTCTGCAAAGCAGGCCACATGGCAACTCTTGCCTTGCCCCTCGATGTAGAATTCCACACTAAAATTGTTACGTTTAACCAGGTCTCCCTCTGTGACACCATGAGGTTTTCTTTACTATGTATTTATTATTTAAAATATTTATATACCGTCCTTAATCCAGATAGGATCTGAGGATGGTTTACATAAAGACAAGAAAACAACAATAAAATCCGCAACAGCACCTATAATACAATATACAGTACATAAAGTTTATAATAAAACTATTTTAACTATTATGAAAATACTGGGTAAATAAAAAGGTTTAAACCTGGTACCAAAATGAATAAAGGGTCAGCTCCCTGCATAACTCCCTAGGGAGCAGGTGCCGCCATTGGAGCACTACCACTGAAAAAGCCCTTCCCCTGGTGGCCACTCTCCTGGCCTCTTTCAAAGAGAGCTCCCAGAGAAGGACTTCTGCAGATGATCTTAGGGTTCAGGTAGGTGCTGAAGGAGATGTTCCTCCAGTTCCTTCAGTTAACCAGACCCTAAACCATTTAGGGCATTATACATCAAAATTAGCACCAATATAAACAGGATGGCTGAAGCAGGCAATAAACAGAAAATGAAAATTAGCAGGAATAGAGCGAGCAATGTCCAGGCAGGCAAAGCAAAACAATAAGCTTGCCCTTTTCTTCTGCCAGGCTTCATCCCTCAGTGACCGAGAGATTGAGTGATGGGAACAGCACAGCATGTCTAAGGAGGATTCTCTGAGAAATCATAGGCCAGCCAAGGAAAGGAGGAACTATGAGGTCCTTTTATGAAGGCAAAACCAGCACAGCAGAATGGAATTCAGGTAGCTACGTACTGGTTGCAATTCTGTCAGAAGGATGAACAAAGCCAGGCACTTTAGCTATAACTTGGAATTGCTAAATATATAAGAAAAGTTCACTGAAGACACCAAATGTGTCATATAAATGGTCCTGTTCTTTTTATTATTGCTGCTGCTATCATCATCATCATCAACAACCTGGAGGCATGAAAGTGAAACACTTCAGAGCAATTCTTCCCTACAAGAGTGGGTAGTAATGACTGAAACTTCAGGTTCTGGCAATTTAGAACTTGAGAGAGAGAGAGATTGAGAGAGGGAGGGAGAGAAAGTCAGCAGTGGCAAGAGAAAATATCCTGCAAGAGTCTTACTTTCTACTACTGAATGAAAGACAAGGCTCTGCCAAAACAAGAGGGGAAGAGGAACGATCGGCAGCCATGATGCTAACACGACAGTGTGCATTCTCACACTGTCCTCTACGTTGTCAGCAAAGTCATGATGGCTTCAGTTTCCCCCACAGAGGTTACGGCAAGTGGAGCAGATTGGTGCTCCAAGGCATCCAACTGTGGGAGCTCTTCCCCATCCAGAATCTGTCTACACTGCTGTATGAAAAAGAGGAAGCCCAAGGTGAAGGGAGGTGTTGTAACAAGGCAGTCACCTGGATCAGAACAGGGACAAGCAGTGAGATACAAGGATGACACATTTCCAATCATGCCCTTCCTTCTGAATTAAATCAAGAGTAACATGTTGCATGTCTGTCATTCCCTACTCACAGCTGCCTTTCTTTTAGAGCTGTAACCCTCCAGTTTCACTTCTGTGTCACTTTCAGTGAGGTTTTCTTAGAGCAAGGAAAATGTGATATTCAGTTACAAAAGAATTTTTTTCCCACTTATTGTCATTGCGCTTTTTCTCTGCACCATACTGCCACCTGGAGGTTCTGTAGTAGAAAAGCGGTAAGGGAAACATGTGCTCAACTCTGTGGCAAAACTGAAAGGAGATGTTGCAGATTAACAGCCTCAGCTAGAAAAGGTCTAGGTATCATCCACAGACACACTTCCTCCTTCAGCAGAGAAATTATGTCTGATTATTCTGTGTGAAAAGGTGAGCGGGATGCAGGAAGAGATTTCTGCTTTATGATGGTTGTGTATCCAAGTAGGTGCTTAAAAATCATCTTGCTGATGGGGAAAACGAAATTGTTTACGGGATCTGATGTGCGGCAATTGTGTAATAGGTGAGATTCCTTTGCTACAGTATCATGAACAGACTGGGAAAGCAGGTAAAGATGAGCCCTACACCACAGTACATTAGAGACAAAAGCATTTGTTCTTATTAAGAATTAAAGGCTACAGGATCAGAGGGCTTTGAGCTTTTTACACGGTAAGGGTAAATGTGTACGTAAAAGACATAATTAAGCAACCACTTTGAGAAAGGTTCACTTAGTGGTAGTTCTAGGTAGCTGGGACATACCCACTGCCCCTTTTCTTGGCTGGCTATGATTCTTAAATATATTCCCAGAAATGGAAGTATATTAGCTTTATTAGCACCAAGAGCTACAGAAAAACTTCACTCAGAGGATTTCAAACCAGTGGTCTACATCTCAACATCATAGGCTACCCTGTTCTGATTTTCACTGCCATGACAGTACAAAACATGAGTTGAGCAGGATGCCTATCAAACTAGGTTTAACGGAAAGCCTATCTAAGCAAAAACAAAAAAGTAAGATCAAACTGTGTACTTGGATGTGAACATTTGAATTTGGCCAATGCACATTTTAAGAAATCCAAAGAGCATGTTTTTCTTGATATTCAAGATCAAAATGGTAAAACATTTCTCTGCGTCCTTACCTATTACAGCAGAGGTTTTGGCCTACAGACTTTGTAGTCAGCATAGCCAATAGTGAAATATCATGCGAACAATAGGCCAAACTATGTTGAGTGCTCGAAACAGAGAAAAGAAGAGGGCCACCTATTGTTCATCCCTACTTTACAATGAATAAAAATGAGAGTCTTGATACAGTTAACTTACTGTTAAAACTATTCTCTTCTCCATATGGTTAGTAGTGCTTGTGCTTGTGGGGGTTGTATTTCTACCAGGGAATTGGTGGGAACTGCAAAGGAATGTGTTAAATCCATATTCATCCAAGGACAATCAAATCCTTCAAGTTCTATTTTGCCCAGTCTGTCATTTTTCCATTAATAAGCCCATTCCATCCCACTTCCTACTCAAATTGCAAAGATTTTTAGTCTACACAAGAATTTGTGAATTTTAAAAATGTGTGCATTTTTGTAAACACTTTTCAAATGCATTTTTGCAAGCACTGAGTATTTTTTCCACTCAGTGGTGCATTTTTATGTACATTTTCTCCAGATGCCATTTCAAAGGTACACATTTTTGCATGCTTTTTATGCACTCCAACCAAAGTTTGGGATACTTTTCACATTCCAGTTTGTGTTTAGGTTCAGAAGATATGAACTGAGAAAATCTGTAGCGAAATGAAATAAAATGGTTTTCTGACCTCTCTCTATACCCACCCACATTTTTTAATGATCCCGCCCCCCAAATAATCCAGGATCTTCCCATAATTACTATCATGCCTGAATTTGAGTAACTGTAGAAAAGCAAGAATAACGTGTACACAGAGAGAGATGCAGCTGCTGCTTTGCTCTGCTTCTAGCACTCTATGGCAGCAAATGGGAAGGGGACCAGGCATTCTGCCTCCCAGTCCAATATCAACATTTACAAAATTGCTTACAGATAATCCCAGTGAGTGCATTCTTGAACACTGAGAACTGTGGATGTACATATGCTTTTGCCTAGAGATAAAATGGAATTTAGCCAATAAATTCTATTTATCTAGGATTATAGCACTTCCTCATTTTCTGTTCACTTCAGGTTCCGATAACACCTCGGACCATGCAAACAAGTCTGAGCCTGAACCAATAGAAGAGCTGATAACTTAACTATGCAAACAGGCTTGTAAATTGTACCAAACATACTGTACCAACACTTATAAAATAAAAATAATACCTTCAACATTTATTATGCTATAATAGGATATAAGAAGTGGCGTAAGAGTTAAGTACACTGTTTTGGGACAAAGTAGTCCTGCCAATTTACTCTTTCAACTGGAGGCTCTTGTTCTGCATTGATCCGACTCCCAAAAACCCCGTCCCACTCTCAAAATCACATTTCGTCTGCAGCAATGGCAGGTTGGGGGAAACGGAAGGATTTGTGAGAGTAGGAAGGCGAGGCTTAAGAGAAAGAGTCACCTCTTCCTTCCTCATCCAATGAAGCTGATTAGCAGGAAATTTAGGAAGGCTGGAAATGGTATATAGTTAACCTATGGAATTCACTGCTAGACAGTGCAGTGATGGCCATTAGCTTTGACAGACTTAAAAGGGAGTTGAATAGAAAAAAAGGAAGGTAAGTCCACCAGTGACTACTCATCATGATTACTTTATGCTAACTCTGAGAGGGGGTTTCTGAATGCTTATTTCTGGTGAGCAAAGCAGCAGGGCCTTCACGCTCTGCTGGTTGACTTCTCAAGAGGCATATGGTTAGTCACTGTGGGAAACAGAATGCTGGACCTGGTAGGCCTTTGGTCTGATTTAATAGGGTTCCACTTACGTTCCCATGAAAAGCCACAGGATATGTGAACAGGTCGGTCATGAGTGCCCATATGGATCTCAACCATGGAACTGTGTTAGCAAAACATCTTCACCCACCTATTTCATCTCCAAGAGAAGAGTTCAGTATGGCACCAGCAGACATAACAACAGCACAGCTTCCAAAACCACGTGGATACAGTTTACTCAGAGAAATTTGGGGAACGTGCTTTTCCCATCCAAGGACAGAAAAGGGAGCCTCTTTGCCATCAATGGTTCTGATGTTCACACGTGCCTTGAGCTCACAGAAGAGCTGTTCTGAAGTCAGTCTGGAGTTTCGCTTCCCCCTGAATCGCACCCCGTGCTTGTTAGTATTCAGGTAGTCTTTCATTGCTTTCTGAAGGCGAGGGTTCAGCATCTTGGAGGACACGTCCCCTTTCCAAAGCCTATAGAGGAAAGATTTTGACATTGTAGAATATATTCCATCCCATTCATCGGACTCTTCAAACATCTGACTTCTCCTATGCCTTGCATGTCTTTTCTTTATCTTCTTCTGAGGAAGCCAATTATTCCGCAAAGCATTTCTCTTCTGATCCTCCTCCTCTGCAGAGATTAATTTCACTATTTGCTGAACACTGCTCTGTGACCGAGGCTGACCAGCAGCAAATAAATAATCACTGTCCCTTTGATAGAAAGCACGCTTTGATTTTCCTCTTAATTGGGAAGGGAAAAATTCCTCTTCACTTTCAAAGCCATCATCTAGGTCAGTCCACTTTTTAATGTTCCCAGTCCCTGATTTAAATGAACCCAAGACCTCTTTGTTCAGAAGCATCTCATTACCATCGATTGTTTCGGAGAAGGAAGGGTCATGGATTGCTCCCATGATCACTCTCTGCTTGCCTTGAAGGGGCAAAAGCCTTTTAGTCTCAATATAAGAGAAGGAACTTGGAACTGCATCAGCAGTGTTACTATCTGTGAAATAGATGAAGATAACCAAGAAGAGAAGGCCCCACGCAAATATTCCAAACAGCATTAGTTGTTTCCATTGCTTCAAGTTAGGTTTCATGGCAATGTCTGTACCAATTCCTCTAAAGGACTGGTGAAGGAAAATCAAACCTAGAAAAAGAAATTTGTGTCAGTGAAGTTTTCAAGGTAGGAGAAGAGCATCAGGATATTTCGTGTGAAAAGAATGAATTATAAAGACAAGGAAAATTAATCTGAAAGACCTGTGATATGCTACTCTGTTGGAACACAATCGTAGGTAGATTGTTTTATTCCCAATAAATAGGATACCCAAATTATTCGTGGCTTAACATTGTCAGTTTTTCTACACTTTTGCTTGTTATATAAATTTAGCAAATTATTGCATTATCAGCTGTAGCTGCTTTAAAGTCTATCTTGAAATAGGAAAAGTACCTCCAAAATTTCAGTCAAGAGAGAAAACACCCCTCCACACAAAAAAGACGTATGTCCACAGAATATAATACTTTACAGCACCATCCAATGCATGTTTACTCAGAATCAAGTGTCCCTGAGCTCATTTGTGTTCCCAGATAAGTGCATGCACAACTGAGACCTCAAAATTCCCAAGTTATAAGTTGCACTATTTATAAGTTACACTAATCACAAGATGGATGTTGTAGTCCAACTCACTGTATCAAGACAGGAGTCTTCACCATACCTAGGTTAGCACAGACATGATACAGAAGCTTTAATCAAGACAAGAGTGGAAGCAGCCTATGGGTAAGCAGGCAGAACTATGCATCAGGAAAACCCCAGCCAGTTTTCAACTCTTCAATCCACTCCCTCCAAGGATCTGCCCCTCTATGCAGTGTGGGGATGATACTGGCCTATCTTACAAGAGCTTTGAAAACATTAAAATAAATAAATTTATATACAAACCATACTGCTGAATTTCTAAAAGTGCTAGCTAAATGTGTCTGTTAGATACGATTTATTTTTTAGAAGACAACAGTGGTATTTATAGTAATTGCAGGGAGAAATCCCAACAGAACACTGAATTTTTAGCTTGCATCCAGACAAAGACTATTCTCTAGTGAAAATATTTTGTTGAAGGAACTTTAGTTTTTCTTTGATCCCATTCAACTAGCTGACTGCAGTCCCTGTGCCAGAACCCCCATTGTTTTGCAACTTAAGGCACTTTTAATGTCTCTAAACAAGCTCCATTCTATTTATTACTGAGGTAGCTGCTGAGTGGAAGAAGAATCTTTATTCCTTTCAAACTTTTCTCTTTCAATACTTTCAATTGTTAAGGCCTTCTTTGACCTTTTTTTTAAAGGACATAAAGACAAGGAGCTATGAGGTCAGGATGGTTCAAGTTGATGTTCTATGTTAGGCCTTGTTATGTTAAATAGGGCATTTTCCCCTCCGAAAAGAATGGAAGGGGGTATATTGCAGCTTTTCAATCAGAAGTTTGTCCTAGGGTTAGTAAGGGTTGTGAAATTGGTGGCCAGACATTCCCAGGAGTTTGGGAGCTCAGACTGGATGAGAAGACCGTGCATCTTGAGCAGAGAATGTTGCGGTGGTATTAGCTCGCAGAAGGAATTAGGATACCTCTCTGGCACAGAGCAAATGGTTTCTCACAAAGTGTCTTTTCAAAGTACGGACACACGAACATACAGACCCTGCATTGCAGCTTACCCAGCTCTGAATATTTTCCATTCTGAAATTACAGTCCTTTTGTTGGACTAGAGGCTATCAGAAATTTCTTTGCTACTTTTTCCAGACTGCACTGATTTAAGTAGAAAAATTCAATCTACCCAATGCAGAGATATAGCTAAGAATCAATTTCAGTCAGGAGTTTATGTCTTCTATGGAAACCTCTGTACGAGCTAAGACAGAATGGGCTGAATAACACTGATGGGTTCATGCAAGGACAGACTTGCAATAAAGGCTATTTTACAATCTTCTGGGTATGTGCACACGCAATCACACACAGAACTCTGTGCTTGCAGAAAGCTAATAATCTCAAGCATAATTAGCATCTAAGTCATTTTATTGCCTTATTTCTAAACACAAAGCCATAGAACATCTGCATTTTATTGCTGTAATATAATGTGTATGTTATCTAAAAATAATTGATTTGAGAAAACTGATGGAAAGAGAAAGATATGAAAGCTGAAAACAGAATACTGAGAAAACAGAGGGGTGGACAGATAAAAACAAATAAAACAAGCAATCTACACAGTAAGTATCTGGTTTACACAGATGTAGATGGCTAGTGGTACTCAACAGTAGAACTTGCACAATTACTCTGTTTTTTCTTGCTTAATGTTTTTCTCACAGCAAGGGAAAAAAATGGAAAAAATTGTGGTTAAAGGTAGGAGGGTCTGGAGGACCACCTGCGAATGAGGCAGGGCAATAGCATGATTTAAAAGCTTTGACTGGAAGTACTCCTAGTGTTAGAAAAGCCAAGCAAAATGATAACTTGCAACCTACACTTATATGTGAAGGTGCATAGCTAGCTCTATGAATTAAGGTACTTTCTTTTGTATTCAACCATTACCTTTCAAGTGTTTTACTTTTCTTTATTTAGTTTAGCATTCATCCTCTTTGAAACTGATCTTTAACAATTATTATGAGTGCCAGAAATTTACAAACCAGAATCTGGCTTGCACAATGCAAAAATAATTAAGCTTCCCCACCCCCTAAATCTAAACAAAGCATGTTCCTAAACAATCCAGATTCTAAAAAGTGAAACCCAAGCTATTATTTTTCAAAGAATGAAAGTGAGTCAAATGCTTTGTTCACAGTATCTGAACGTATTAAAATTTGACAGATGCAAGAGAAGTAAAGAATATGAGCTATAGTTTTGGTCTAACAGCAAATTCATATAGTTTGACTACTCTATAAAAGACAAACATTACCAAAACAAGAGGACACAAGTTTTTACAAGGTTTGCATACACGGATTTATATGTTTACTGGAAAACATAGAAGCAGCTAGTGTACTTGTAACAGACATATGAAACAACAGAAATATGATGGTGGGAAAGATTGTGACCAAGTGACCTTAGACCTGCTCAATTTGCTTTCTAGGATCAGGTACTAAGTGTAAATGGCATCATCAAGACCACTTGTTACAGCTCTCCTTTCTTTAAACCCATTTTAGATAGGATAGCCATTCAAACAGAGAACATGCTAAAACAAAGGACTGCCCCCTGTAAAGTAGAATGCATGGCCACTGAGAATTCATACACTGTCCAAGTCATAGGAGACCTATAGTGTTAAGATCACCCACTGCTCTCTGAAAACAGTAACATTAGAGCACCACACATTCAGGTATCATGAGCTGGTCCTAAGTGAGGGCTTGGGTAAAGACTGGGAACTATATTCCCTCCCTATATTCACATCATTTGATGTCTAACATCCTGGTCACATGGGTATATTTATTACCAACTTCATTGTCACATGATGACTTGTATGCAGAAACCATTCATTGTGGATCAGAATTCACAGATGTCAGTTTCTCCAACATTTTTCTCAAGAGGTATTTCATAGCCAGTGGGGTCCAACAATAAACCATGATTTAAGTGCTGGACTGTTTATGTTAATTGCACTGGATTGACCGCACATCCACTTTCTTCACACTTTGTACAACTGCCCATCCATCTTTAAATGAATGGGTTGCCATTATATGAGAATCTGTGCCAAGGTATCAAGCGATAAGTGACAAAGTAGCTTAGAGGCATGTATGAATCTGCCTCCTTTAGGAACCATTACAAACATGGCTGGTATTTCTCCAAGAGGAGGAAGCCTGTAGTTATCAATTCATGTAAATGTATTAAAAATAAAATGGATCCATTCAGAGACTTAGAATACAAATAAGAAGCAAAAATGAAGCACAAAAACACAACAAAAAGTCACTAAAGTTTAAGTTTTGTTTTTCAAGGAGGTTATGTCAGAATTTTAAATAAAATAAAAATTCCAAGACCAATCAACCATCTAGTTATTCTGCACAAATCCCACTGAAGTGAAGTGTATGAGTAGAGCAAAAGTGCAGTCAACTAGTTAGAAGTTCAACAAATTCCCTTTTGATTAATCCTTGGCCAGCGAATTCTATAGGATTTAAGGATGCATCTTCACTTCTGGATCAAGAATACAGATTTCTCCTATCCATTATTTTATTGACATACACATGAATTAAATGCAAAATCCTAGCTATTAAAAATACTAAGTTTTAGAACATGGAAACATAACTAAATCATAGTGGTGACTAGAAGGTGTATTAAGAAAATGGTCTCTGAATATTTACCAGATGGTGAATAAGCGTTGTGGCTCTACTGAAGCAGACGGCCAACCAGAGAGCAAATGTCCTCTTGCTTTAAAATAAAAAGATCTCACCATGCTAGCAGCAACGGGCTGTAAGGGTCAGGAGTGAGTGTGAATTATGGCATCTGCACCTTTTCCTGCAACTGCGACCACCATCTGCTGCCATGGATAATTACGTCTGCTAGAGAGGAAGCCCAGAGTCTCTTCCCTCTGAACTTCTCTGTCCTCCATCATAGCCCATTATATAGTTGTCCGTGTGCATTCAAAATGCTAACAGTGGTGTTATTAAGACTCTTGTGGTTGAGAGAAATGAAATACACGAGAATTGGCACAGCGTGGCCATTAATTTGGGCTCTAATCAAGAAACTATTATCCGTTTGCAACCTACTCTGATCTCCTATGGAACTGATTTCTTTCTTCCCACTCCATTCAATTTGTAAGAGCAGATGAATGGAAAAAACGCCGTCCTAAGCAGCACGTCCCTCTGCTCTGGCATTGTGTGTAACTGTGCATGGCTGCAGGAATATCCTGTGGTATAAGACAACCAGAAATGGCTGTTGGGAGAAGGAGTTAGAGGTAATGAATGAACCATTCAATGGCTGAGAAGGCCTGTAGCAGCACTTTTATGAACTGCATTAATCACACCTTCAGAAATGGATACATATAGCCTGGGATGGCCTTTAAGTTTGACTCCAGACACTATACTTAAGGAAGCATAATAAATAGCAGATCTGAAGGGTTTTAAAACATTTTTGGCAGGATAAATAAATTTTCA